CACACAAGAGACTAGGGCATAGCAAGTCATAGACTTGGTATTAGGGATAGAAACAGGATAGACACGGCGGAAACTGGATCTAGTTGGCTGACCGTAGGTTTTACCAGAGACGTCGTCCATGTAGCAACGGCGTGACAATGAAACTTACTCAAGGGCTTTAGCTTCTAATTAGTCACCTAGGTGCAGGGGATGGACGAATTACGCCTTGAGTAGCACAGATGGGGGGTGGGCAGGGGTCGAGTGGAATACGTGAACCACGGATATAGCAGACTGATCTTACGTGGCAAGAGAGAGACTGTGATAAGACCTAGGGAAGGACGATTGCGTAACAATATGGCAGACTGATCAACATTCCCAGGATAAGGATGAAGGGGGGGAGAGCGACAGTGTGGAGTGTAAAGGGTTTTCATGAATATCGTACAGCACACAGTGATATGAGGATATAGGAAATGTGAATAGCCCAGGGCAGACGGGGAGATATCACAACTGATTAGCACACGTTTGGTCAAAGGATCAACTTCACTTCTCTGTTTGACTAATTGTTGTGTGGTGCTAAGAGTGGCGAGACTCACTGACGATGCCACCGAAACGTCTGAAAATGTACCACGTCCACGGTTCGACTGGAAATTGTCATGCATACAATGGACTCCGGACCAGGTGCGTACCTCTTACTACCAATATGACCAAGTTGCGAAAATAAGGTCAGACAACCTCTAATATTCATGGTTATTTTATGCCTGTTTTATAAGACTCTTAAAACAACCTATATTCCTTTTTTTCTAAGTAAAATTTGGTTCTTGACTTTCCTTGGCTTTTACCTCTTTAATTCCTTTATCTGCTACCAAGCTCATCTGAAAGCAAAGAATATAGCTCGGAATGTGTTTTGGCTTGTTTTCCTCTATCTGCTTACTAATTTTCTTATTAAAATATCAACTTATTTCAAAATATACAATTATGGGCAAAATTAATTACTAAATGAAAGGAAGATAAAAAAGACTTTTGGGAATTTTATGTATTTTTTTATGCGAAGAGGTAAATATGCTCAAACAAGCTTGCCTTAGAATTTATAGATGTCCTTGTTCTATATATTTTTTGGAGGGAATTCATTCATTTTATACTTGTATCTATAAGCCTTGCAGCCTTAGGCTTAAGATTTTATCTATATCAATTTAATGTGTAATAAGCCAAAGCTAATTGAACTCAACTTTTGGCAGATGCTTTTGCTTGCTTTCCTTAGTAATGATTATATCTAAATAAATGCTCTTTGCTGCCAATGTTTTACTGGCTCTATGTAAATATACATTTTCCTTCGCTGTTTGGCTTGATATGGCCTTCAAAATTTTATGTTGCTTATCTGATTTTGCTTTGATACATTGCTCCCCGCTGAAAATCTAGTTCTCAAGCTGCTCAAGAGGGGGAAGTTGAAAACCTAGCCTACTATTTCACGGTTTCGATGGTGCGTGGCCTCTTTCTTCCCTCAAATTCAGATTCTTGCCAAGGTCCTGGCTTCACTGGCGGAACTGTTTCTCTAAATACAGTGGATTTGAACGTCGTTCCTACAATAGATCTTGGTTGCGATCAAGGCACTCTCATCATTCGCAATTCTGTATCTCTGCACAACCAACTTCCTATACCACTTGGCTACAAAGTGCCTGTAAGCATACTTAAATACTTCTCAATTCCGCCTTAAACTGAGCTTAAGGAATTCTTTATGACTAAATATTGAATATCGATTAATTTGCCTATATTTCTATTTTTGCTGAGCCTGCTGTTCCCTGATCTACTCGAAGTTTATTTAAGCAATACGCAAAATTGCGAATTCTGCGTTCTAATCTCTTTTTTATTAGAATTATTTCAGTAACCACATCGATAGCCCTTCGACTCTTGCATTTTTTGTATTTCAACCATACGCAACCAACCCTCCGATCGATTTCCAATCGATTTCATATCCAGTAGTATGCACTCCTTCCGAATTTTCACATATTTCCGTATCCATGTTTCTGCTGAGCCACTGATGTTCCTTGATTCATAGACCCATTTTCTTCCTGTTTTACCAATATGCTTCTTCTTACAGTTGTCGCGTTTTTTGCGATAAACTTCCGTAATCCAGTTTGCTAACCTTCTCATATTGTTTTAGCAGGCTTAGAAGAGTGTTGTCGTTTTCTTAATACCTGAATATTCTATTTTCTTAGTAACATTTGCTATTTTTACTCAGTACATATACACTTTTGGTCCTCCCGATTCCTGATTTTATTTCCATAATATCTAAGTTAACATTTCTCCTTTATCATCTCCATATTTATTTATATGATTTCCCTGAATTTCCTATTACCTACGGAAATTTATTCATTTTGTTTAACTCCTCATCCCAGGACTCCATGTCTCTTAGTCCTAAACCACTGATAATCAAATTCTTCATTCCGATCTTTCGTATGTAGTTGTGATGAGACTGGAAATTGAGGATCTTTCCCTCGTGTGATTTCTTCCTGAATTCACATGAAAAGAAGAAGTGATATTCAACTTTACAGTATACAGAAGTTGTTTGATCTTGCTTTCGCAACTTGGTCATATTGGTAAGAAGACTTAGAGGAACGCACCTAGTTCGGAGTCCATTTTATGCATCATCATTTCCAAATTCGGACCATGGACGTGATACATTCCCAGACGCTTCCCCGGCATCATCAGTGAGTCTCACCATTCGTAGCACCATATTGCAACTCGTCAAAGAGACAAGTGAAGCCCATCCTTTGACCAAACGTGTGCTAAACAATTTTGGTACCTCTCCTTCTGCCCTGGGCTATTCATATTTCTTATATCATCCTATCAGGCCTTCCCTGTCACAATGTTTACCGTGCTTATTTTTAATTTAATGTGGTGTACTCATTCGAGCGGCATTTATGAAAACCCTTCACACTCCAATCTGTTGTTATGACCCCCTTCACCCTTGTGCTAGGAATTTTGACCAGAGTCTGTGATATTATTACGTAATTCTTCACTGGATCCTATCAAAGTCTCCCTCTTGCCCTGTAGAATCCGTCTGCTACCTCCCTGTTATATGTATTTCACTCGACCCATGCACCTTCCCATCTGTGCTACTTGAGGCGTAATTCGTCAATCCCCTGCACCTGGGTAATTGAATAGAGGCTAAAGCCTCAGAGTAAGTCTCATGGTCATGCCTTTACTACATGGACAACGTCTCTTATAAAACCTACTGTCAGCCAACTAGCTCCAATCTCCGCCTCGTCTATCCTGTCTCTATCCTAATACTAAGTCTATAACTTGCCATGCTCTAGTCGCTTGTGTGCCAACCCACAAATGTTGTGGTTCAACATTGAAGCTAATCAAAACCAACAGTACTACAACATTTGTGGGTTAGCACACAAGCGACTAGGACATGACAAGTCATAGACTGGTATTAGGAATATACAGGATAGAGGAGGCGGCGATTGGAGCTAGTTGACTGACAGTAGGTTTTACAAGAGACGTGGTCCATGTAGCAAAGGACCATAAGACTTACTCTGAGGCTTTAGCCTCTAATCAATCACCCAGGTGCAGGGGATGGACGAATTACGCCTCGAGTATCGCAGATGGGGGCCAGGGGTTGAGTTAAATACATGTACCAGGGAGATAGCAGATGGATTCTACACATCAAGAAGGAGACCAGGGTCATATCATGGGCATGGTACATTCACAGACATCGTCAGTAAGCCTTACCTTTCTTAGCACCACATTTCAACCAGGCAAAGAAACAGGTGAAGTTAACCTTTGACAAATTGTATACTGAAAGTATGAAGACCAAGATGGTGTGGCCTTTTGTGTTGTCGCACTCTCCTTTCGTTGTATAGAAGTTGTTTGACCTTGTTTTCGCAACGTAGTCATATTGGTAGAAAGACTTAGAGGAACGCACTTAGTCCGGAGTCCATTGTATGCATGATCATTTCCAAAGTCGGACCCTGGACGTGGTGCCTTCCCAGACACATTCCTATTCACATTTTCTATATCCTCCTATCACGCCTTCACCCTTACACTTTTTACCATGCTTATTTTGATGTAGTGGTGTGCTCCTTTGAGCGGCATTCATGAAAACCTTTCACACTCAACACTGTCGTTCTCACCCTCTTCAGACTTGCCCTGGGTATGTTGATCAGAGTCTGCCATATTGTTACGCATTCATCCTTCCCTAGGTTTTATCACATTCTCTCTCTTGCTCTGTAAGATCAGTCTACTCTCTCTATGGTTCACATATTTCACTCGACCCCTTCCACCCCATCAGTGCTGCTCGAGTTGTTATTCGCCCTCCCCTGCGTCTGGTTTACTAATTGATTAAGTCTCATTGTCATTCTTTTGCTACGTGGACAACCTCTATGGTAAAAACAGACCTATTGTCAGCCAACTACCTCCGCCACGTCTATTCTGTCTCTATCCCTAATACCAACTCTATGACTTATTATGCCCTAGTCTCTTGTGTGCCAACCCACAGATGTTGTGGCACTGATTGCTATGATTAGGTTCACTTTTGAACCACAACATATGTGGGTTTAGCAGACATGAGATTAAGACAATGATTCCCAAACTATGCGCCGCGGCGCTCTGAGGAGCTTCGGCTTCTTTACAGGGGCACTGCGAAATATTGTAAAAGCTTCAATTTGAGAAAATTTTTTAGTGATTTGCATGCTCATCCATCACATTAATTATTAAATATTAATTAAATGTAAATAAAGTAAAAAAATAATGCAGTTACACGAGTTTTTTATCTTTTACTTACGAATAATCATACTTAGGGTAGGACGCCATGGAAAAATTTTAATTGATAAAGGGCTTTGCGACTAGGAAAAGTTTGTGATCCACTGGACTTTGGCATAGTAAGTCCTAGACTTGGTATTATAGATAGAAAGAGGATAGAAACAGTGGAAGCTAAAGCTTGTTGGCTAAGAATAGTTGTGATTCAAGGATCACGTCTATGATCAAACACGTCTATTGCTAGCCAAATAGTTTTAGTCTCTACCGCGTCTTTTCTATTTCTATCTGTAATACTATGTCCATTACTTCCTACGTCCTAGTCTCTTGTATTCCAACCCGCAAAGGTTGTGGTTCTACTTGTTTTAGACCTCTCTTTTTTACTTCCGATTGTTCCTTTCTCGTTACCCTGCGATTTATTTTCCTAAAATCAAGGATATTGCCTTGATTCAGTCTTCTTTCTTTATTCTGATCTTGCTGTTGCATGGTCTTCTCCGAGTTTGTTTAGGCAATATGCAAAGTTTTCGCTGATCCTGCCTTCTTTAAGTCTTGTTCATTAGATTTCTCTCGATCAGCATATCGATGGCCTCTCGAATCTTGCGTTTTCTCGTATTTTTACTATATGCGACCAACCTTTCATTCGATTTCCAGTCGATTTCGTGCTCCGTTCGTGCAATATGTTCCGCTATTTCGGATCTTTTCGTTTCCATGTTCCTGCAGAGTCTTTGATGTTCCTTGATTGGTAGGCCGATTTTTATTCCTGTTTAACCGATATACTTCCACTTCCGATATGCACTCACAGTTGCCGCATTTGATGCAATAAACTCGCGAGCAATCAAGTTTCTTATTCATCTCGTGTTGTGTTGGCAGATTGATGAAAAGCGTTGTCTTCTTTGTTATTGCTTTGATATTCCATTTCCTTAGTAATTGTAGAGATTTTTGGCTCAGTTGGGATGAGGGCAGGCAAATTCATTTTTTCTCGTCCTGATTCCTGATCGGATTTTTATAAAATCTAAGTTGAAATCGGCCCTTTATGATGATACTGAAAATTAAGGATTATTCCTGCATACGAATTCTTTATCTATAGTTTCCTCATGAGTGTCTCCTTGGAGCGTATGACTTCAATATCTAGAAAGAATAGCCGTTCATTCTCATCCATCTTCATTGTGAATTTAGTTCTTTTGTCAAGTTGGTTAATAAAATTAAGGAATTCATTTAGATTTTCCTTACTATGTGACCAAAGTGCAAAGTAGTCATCCAAGTATCGCATGAGCACTTTTGGTTGCAGTGGTGAATTCTCGAATTCCCTTTCCAACTTGTCCATGAATACATTTCCCAAAAGTGATGAGAGTGGTGATCTCATCGGTAGTCCAAATATTTGCTTGTAGATACTCCCGTTAAATGTAAAATATGTGGTCCTTATTGTCAGGTTGATCAGTCGTGTTAAAGATTCTTTACGTATTCTTTTTGCCTCCAGGATGTCCTCTTCTTGCTCCAATATCTCCAACAAAGCGCTTACTCATTCTCGCCTAAGACATTTGTGTACATGGATTGTACATCGAAACTCACCGACAGTTCCGACCCCACTAACCCAATGGATCCTTTGAGAAAATCCATATGAATTCTTAACGGTATTCGAGAGTCTGTCATTTACTTTCTTGAGCTTTAAGCAAATGAATTTCGTTAGTTTTTGTATTGCTCCATGCTTGCTGTTGACTATTGGTCTTAGCGGATTTCCTTCCTTGTGTATCTTCGGTAGTCCCTTAGGCTGTCGGTGGCCTTGCATCATTTTTGATTAAAGATTTCATCCTCCATTTGTCAATTTCCCCATTATTATGCATTTCCTTGAGCATATTCTTCGGTGTGCCGTTGATCTTCGTGGTTGGATCCTTGCTTAGTATTTGATTAGTGTTCCGATCGCCAAGGATACTTTCCATTTTCTCTCTGTATTGTTACTTGTCCATTACAACTGTCGCCCCCTCCCTTATCCGCCTAAAGAACTATTTGATCATTCTTTTGTAAATTTTTTTTAGATACCAGCCAATCTGCTCCTGTGTATCTGTTCTTGATGTGTCATGATCCGTGGGATTATTTCCAGTTCCATCTCCCTCCTTGTCTCTTCTGGATATTTATCCATTATGTTGACAACTTTAACCAGGAATTCACTATGAACGTTTCCTTGAATTTATTTACCTTAAAATTATTTGGTCATGAAAAATTCTTCGACATCATCGATACTAGTGAATTTACGTCTTTCTGATGTAAATTATCAGGATAAGTAGTTAGAATGCATTTTGGACCGGCATAAAGTAGCCAACTTACTCATGGAATGCCTCATTAAGATTGCAAAGTGAGGTATAAGAAAAAGGAACTTTGCCAACTGTGTTGATTTAATGTTTGTTTGTAATTGTTCACTAATAATTATCTTAATCCTCCTTTAATAATACCTTCTACTTGATGAACCTGTCATCTTAGTATTTAATCCTGGTTTTAGAGCTATGCGCTACAAGATCATAGTGCATAAGTAAAGTGTTTAATCTATATTGCGAACCATTATCTATTGTTTCCTATCTCAACTCTATTCATATTATATTCCATATTTCGCATAATTTTAATATCGGTCTTTTTTGATTAAAATCCCTTGTATGTTGCAGTCTTTTGTACGGGCACGATTATCTTTTACAACTTGTATTTGAGTATTTTATTTCTTTTCGCTTTTTTTCAAAGGCCTAAAGCTGATTCATCCAAAAGCCTTATATGTTTCCTATTTGCATAAAGTTATAAAATTCTAATAGGTAAATTTTCCTACAATGCTATAAGTAGCCCTCACTATGCCATTTCATTTAAGCTATTTTTGCCTCAGCATTTATTCTCATCTAAGAAGG